GGGGGGGAACGGCGGGGCTTGGGGCGCACACCCCCTGCACGTCGGGCAATCTGCTCGGCGAAACGGACGGCGAGGATCGCCCGCACCCGATCGGGCATCGGCACAGGGATAAACAATCGACCGGGCGAGCAGCAGAATCGCGGAGAGCGGGGGGGCATTCGCGCGCGTGCGTGTGCGGCCACCGGCGTGTGCGTTGGCGCGAGAGAGAGAGAGAGAGAGAGGCCTCTCGAGCGCCTGGGAGCGGATCTCCCCGGCCTGACTTCCGCCAGGCATCGTTGTCGCCCTTCCAAACACCTGCCGGAGGCCGGGGGCGCGGGGGAGCCACTTACGTGCACAGGGGCTGGGGCCTGTCCCGGTAGTCAAAACGAGGTGCATCCGTTGTGGTGCCCCGTGGGCCGCCGGATCCGAGCGTGTGCGCGCGCGCGCGCGCGCTAGTGCGGTGGTGCTCGGCGGCGTCGGACGGCGGCAGAGGAGTGGCCGGGCACCGCTCCAATGCCGGCGGCATGGCTGCATCCCGCGAAGCTTGACTACCTCCGCGTGCGCAGAGCGGGCAGTTGCAAGGGTCCCGGAGCTGGGGGGTGGGGGGGGGGGAGACTCCCCCAGAAGTGAGAAGGGGATGTTAGTTGTCGGGCCGCCTCCCCATGGGGGCCGCGTAGGCGAGGGGTGGGGCATGGGCGGGGCACATGCGGTGGCTGGAGGCTCTGTGCCGTTGGCCAGCCGGCTCTCCGATGATGGGGAGACCCGACCGGGTGCCCTGCGTGAGTAACCTCCAGGCGGCTCGATCTTGTGAGCGTGTGACTGGCGACCGGGCGGCGTCGGGGGCAGAACAGCCATCTTGGCACGCACATGTGCGAATGTGCGCGGGTGCCTGTGTGCCACCCTCCGGGGAGGGCGGGCGCGCGCCGGTGCAGCGCCGGCGTCTGGGGAGACTACCGCCCGAGCAGGGGGCGGAACGGGGGGGGGGGGGGGGGGGGAGGGGGGGGGTGTTCGAGCGAACAGGTGGCGGCGGGGGGCGCCGGGCCGGGGGCGCCAACACCGGGGGCGAAAGTGCTCGCGTAGATCCTGGCGAGTAAATATTTGGATCAAGAGCAGCGCATCGGGTGCCAGGGGAGGGGGGGGGGGGGGAAGGAAAATGCGCAGGCCGAATCAGGCCGTTGGAAATGGACGCGCCCGTCCTGCGCCTAGTCGCGCACGCGCGCGCGCGCGCGCGTCAGCACCCGAACACATTGCCAGGGGGTGCCTCGGTGCCGAGAATGGCCCAGCGCCGCATTTGCTCGTCATGATGAGACTTAGCCCCCCCGGCTCGCGCCCCGGCTGAAGCCCGCCTGCCTCAGCTCGGCAGGCGGGCTTGAGCCGGGGCGCCTCTGAGGCAGCATGTGCCGGTGAGGGGGGGTGGGCACAGAACGGCGGGGGCGTGCACACCCACGCCTTGGAATTGGGGGCGGTCGCGTGTGCGCGCACGCACGCGAACGCACAACCGAGCGAATGCGCAAGCGAGCGAATGCGCAAGCGAGCGAATGCACACACCCTGGCACAGCTATGACTAGCCAGGCCATGGTTATGTCCCATCGACAGCTGATGGCGCGGGAGCACGGCCACAAAGAGAGGCAGCGACACAGAGCCAATTACCAAAGACATACTTTGGGGGTGGGGCGGGG